TCTGAAGTCTCAGATGACTGTACACCTCTCTAACAGGCTACACCAGAAGGTTACTAGCTAGTTGTTCCTCCAACCTGCCTTCCACACTGCTCTATAACACAAGTCCCATCCATGTTTGATGGCTTCCTCTGAGCTAAAAAAAAATAAATACCAACAACATTCCTGTGAAACGTAGAATTCAAAATCTGGCCCCAACTTTATCCCAAATCCATCAGCCATATGAAACCACAAGTGGCAGGACCATCCTCAGTGTCCACTGTGTTCACGTATGCCAGCTCTATATATCATCTGGTGAACTGAGGCCTACTCCTGGTGAGACAGGCAGGTCTCAGAGTAAAAGCTAACTCAGGCTATCTTTTATTTAGGATTCAAAGACTGGATGGATGAATAAATTTTTACCAGCGAAGACTATTAATTCTTAGTGGTTTCAACTCTGCTCCTATTGTCCCCACCTACCACTTAAGACATCTTTCCTCTCCTACTTAAATACTCTTGGCCCTAGTATAGCACCTTTCCCTTCCCAGAATTCCTAGGCATAAAATTCCATCACTGTATTAGATAGTAAAGACACACGTCTCGTTATATACTTGTGGAAAGGACTTAAGATTATTTTTTTTAATATTTTATTATTTTTATTGTATGTGTATGAGTGTATTGCCTGCATGTATGTGAGTGCACCTGTGTTGTGCAATGCTGCAGAGGTCGGAAGGCAGCTTCAGATTCCCCTGGAACTGGAGTTAAGGAGGGTTCATAGCTGCCATGTGGGTGCTGGGAATTGAACCTGTGTCCTCCGCAAGAGCAATCAGTGCTCTTAACCGCTGATCTCTCTCTCCTGCCCCTAGACTATTTTAAATTAGGCACCCAGTAAGGACTTAAACTGGACTTTATACTAAAACAACGCCAAGCAAGCTGTTTACTTCAGCATAAGGAAGACATGGGTACGTTCTAGGGCAAAGCTGGAAAAGGAAGTCAACATTTACTTGGCCAGCTGTACTTTCTCAACTACTCTACAGAACTCTTTAAGTCTTGACAGCCCTGTATGTTCACAGCTTATAACTGAAGGCTTTAAAGGGTTGTGGGATAACCCTACTGCGTGTTTGACCAGTACTGTGTGGAAGCTGACTTCAACCCAGCCTAGAGTCTGGCCCATGACATTCCAGAACCATTCTTCAAATACCAGCTTTCCAAACTGAACAAAGCAACTGGGTAAAACAGCTTCTTCCAGATCTTCATTTAAGAAAGGGAAAGGATATGCATTTAATTAGAAATACTTATATTTAAATGTTACTCACAGAACTGAGGTGCTAACTAATGGGCACACACCCATTATTTCCAACCTCTAAATAATACACGTAGCTAGTTATCTTTTGAAAAACAATGGCATCCCTTCCATAAAGAATTTCTTAGGTGGGGAAGAGAAAGAGGGTTACAGTTGTTCAGGCTGGTTTGGAACTTAGTATGTAGCCCAAACTGGTCTCCAACTTCCACAGATCCTCCTGCCTCTGCCTCCTCAAGTGCTAGAATTACAGGCACACACCTTACTAAGCTCCCTAAGTATTTTTAACACACTAGAAAATGGGACATCAGCACTTACAGATGCAGCCAAGCCAATCCTAACTGCGTCATCCATCAGGTGAGCGACTGGCTATCAGTTGAGCCACTGGAAAGTGCAAACACTGCAAAAAATTCTTCCAGTTTAGACTACTAACTCTTATCAAATGGTAGGAGCCAATTTTTAGATACTACCCACAAAGGGGAGACTACACACAAACCCCACCAAAAAGATGGTCAGTTCACAAGGGGGAGGGCACTGTTAAGATACAGTGTAGGGATAGAGCCAACTACAAATCACAGACCCACTGTCTTCAAGCAATGCTGTACTTAGGCTCCAACAGACCACAATGGAAATCAAAATGGAGTCACTCATACTGAAGTTAGCCAAACTAAGTTGTTATTTGACCTTCAGAAAACACAGGAAAGACAACCTAATTTCCCCCACTGGGCCACTTTAAATCAGCAAGACAATGAGCTTTAGTAAACCAGTGTGTATCCTGAAGTACCTGGGGAACAAGTTGTTCTCCCATAGTCCTCTAACAAGGGAAGTAACTACAAACCCACCAATCCCCTTAGCCCTTTGTTTCCACCAACAGCACTTCTCTGTCCTGTAATGCCAAGTTCTAAACCCACTACGGAGCATCCAGTACGGAAATGTTAGCTGTGACTCCTTCAGGAACAGGACTGAGCTATGGCCCAAACTTGTTTCTGTGCAGATCTGAGAACTGGCATCACAGAGAATGAATGACACCTCAGGCATACTGCGTCCACAATTGTTACTGGCGGTTTATACTCTGGTTTGTTTGGAACTGGTAATTAAAGGCACTATCAAAACAGTCAGCCCTCCCTATCCACAGATTTCATACTTACAGTATTTAGGAAGCACTTACATAGTACTGGAGAGTAAACCTAAAGCCCAGCATGTACAGGGAAATGCTCTATTACTGAGCATATTATATCCCCCACCTTCCTTCGACTTTTTAAGACAGGATCTTAACTAAGTTGGTTGCCCAAGCCCGCCACTTCCACTAGCTAAAATTTACAGGCATGTTGTCAACCAAACCCTTTGATAGTACTGTGTATCTACAGGTGACCCAGTGTAACAGTGAGGATGCAGAATGAGGGATGACATCATAAAACTTTATGAGTCTCAAGCACCAGATTTTAGTTACCCCAAGAAGCCTTGAAAGTAATCTCCCTTGGACACAAAGGTGGAATTTAGTAGCGAAATTCTGGAAATCAGCAAAACTATGTTTAAAAAAATCTTAGCCTGGCATGGTGGTGTATGCCTTTAATCCAGCACTTGGGAGACAGAGGCAGGCGGATCTCTGGGAGTTCGAGGCCAGCCTGGTCTACATAGCGAATTCCAGGTCTGGGGCTACAGGGAGACCCTGTCTCAAAAAGACCGAAAAAAAAAAAAAAAATTAAAGAAGCCGGCCCCTCATTATGGTGCAGACTGCACTCTCTAGGCTGAGGCAGGAGGATGTAAATTCAAAGCTAGTCTGGAGTACATGAAACCTTCACACACACACACACACAGTTATACAGAAGAGGCCCTTTTGCTTGACCCATTTCATAGTCATTTTAGCAGTAACATGCTATTCAGAAGACTTCAAGTAAATTCCCACATAAACACTACCTATTTTTATTAGCATATTGTGCAACGTTTATATGTAATTATCAAATCTGATAATGAACATCCTGTAAATTACAGACACTTCAATTTTTTTGGTGTTTGGCCATTAACTAATGCAAAGGGGATGAGAAGAGGGGACCAGAGCCACTGCCTCCTCTGCCTTTCCGAAATTTCATAACCTCTAACAGGGCACATGAGCAGGTATAAACATCCAAGTTCAGGTTTCATTTTCACTGCCTGACAAAAGCTATGTAGCACATCAATCCTTTCATGCTGCAGAGTTTCTTCCAGAAAATTCTAATGAAAGTTACTGAGGTGTTCACATTTCGGCACAGCTATCCTCTCCGGCACGAACCACACAGGCACACTGAAATCCTTTTAAAACATTTTAAGGTATCGTGCATTGCTATTGAGGTACACACTAACTAGAACAAACCTTTACACCAAGCGTCAGAACAGTCCGGCACACACGGAAAAACCCCTGCAAAACCGAAATCCAATTCAGATAAAAACCAAATCAATACAAAAACAATTGCGTAAACAAACTTTGCGATGCGCATGGAACGACACGGATGACTGAAGCCATTTGTCAGCCCGACACCCCTCCTCCCTGGAGGGCCCAGAACGCACCATCCGTGTAGGAAGCCGCCGGGGACCCCGACCCCCGACGCTGCGCAGTGCCCTCCATACACAGCCCTATGGGCGCATGCCAAGGCGCCCAGCCAAGGTCACGAAGGCCCGGCCCCGCGCCCCCGCCCCCCCAACCCCGGGAAGGGCGTCCCCCAGGTGAACCGCCGCGGGGGTCCCGCCACGCCCCTCCCCCGCCGGGTTACGCAATGCCGCCCCCGCCCCCCGCCGGGGCG